TATTAGTTTCACACTTAATTTCAGATCTTCATATGTTCTCCTTTTGCTCAGTTCTTGAATTAGATAATTTTTGATTTTTAGTTTTTTGTTCTTTAAATGCCAGTACTAGGTATGATATTTTTTGTGTAAGAAGAAATATGGAAATGTCTGTTTTCTGAATGTAACCAGACCTCTGCTGAAACAAGATGGTTTGGTGGTGTGATTGGTTTTATTGTTGTTGTCGGTTTTTTTCTTTTTAGTTTAAATGCCATGATTTCACAATAAACTTGCCTCATTGGTGTTCTACAGTCCTTTTTAAAAGGGTTTTTCAAAATCATAAAACCATTCAAGCATTGAGGGCTTCTCCATACATGCTTTGGTGTGTTTTTTCTAGGGACATTAAAATTCAGGCAGTTCCTATTGTCTTACTGCTGGATAAAGGAGCTACTCTAGCTAATGAATAACCAGAAGACATTTTCTACACACCTAAGGTGGCATGTGAATGCATACGTTTGTCCTTAGTGCTCAGTGGTATTACTTTGCCTCTTTGAAAAATTGCATCAGGATCTTAAAGAGTTCTAGTTATTGCCAGAGTGACTTTGGCAGGTTTGCTCAGTCTAGAAGAGTAGAATATTTTTTTTTCCTCTGAGTTAGATGCCTTAAAATCCAGCTTAACTGGTGCCACATTTAAGATGAAAAAGTTGTTCTTATTTAGCGAGTCAAAATATATGACCTTCCTTAAAAGTTTAGAAATATTGAGCAGAAAATAAAGAGCAAGTTGGCTTAGTGTACTTTTCTCAAGATCACACCTAAAAGAGCTCTTCCTGTTCCATGTGACTGCACTTGCTTACTGAACTTGGTATGAGATGCAGTTACCTTCCTCAAACTGTGGTAATGGGAGAGAACCTCAGACTGGAAAGCATGTTAGCTTTTACCTTTTTGAGCTTGATTGCTTATTGTTTGGAAATTTATTCAAGCCTAGAAATGGCATGACTATGTGGAATTTATTACGGCATTTTGGCTGAGATTAGTTTCAGCATTAATTAATCTCTCTGGGACAACTGAACCTCTATGCTCCTGAAGTGTCTGCATCTTGCTTGTGAATGCATGCAGATGTTCCACTTAAGGTCTGCCTCTGTCTGAGAGTCAAGTCTAGCCAGATGCATCAGTTCTTAGCTAAAGTCATGGGCACAGAGCATGGAGTAGGGTAATGGTAGGGCTCTCTTCACAGCTCTTCTTATCTCTTAGAAAACCTCTCCAAATTTACAGCATATCTTAACATTGCTACTTTGGAATCTCTTGTTTTAGAAATACTCCTTTCTTTACCCAGAAGTTCCTGGAAATCGATCATAATGTTTTTCTTGTTCCTTCCTATTTATTCTTCCTATATTCCTTACTCTGGCACGTGCCTCTGGCACTGAGGCTTTTGAGATTTTTGGAACAGAAGAAATTTTGCGCAAGACTGATTTTGGTGACATTAATCTTCCAGTTCTGCCTAAGAACACCATTCCACTTCAAGGAATTGAGCCATCTTTGGGCTCCAATTGTAGTCACTGTAAGGGAGTTACGTAGGAACTGCATAGATTTGTGGGCAGAGCTGCAGAAACTCTGGCATATTGCTAGCTGGAGACAGAAGTAATACAACTTAAGCATTTCCTGACACAAGTTTCTGCCAGGTGTCCAGAGGAGGAAAATTATCTCAGTTATTTCCTATAGGCCAGTGTCTATTTCTTTGCTGTTGCTGATTCTCTTTATGTGAACTCATTGCTTAAAATAATTATTTTTAAACCCCTGAAATCTTGACTGTTGTTGAATTACTCAACTCATTTAAGGAGGCACAGGAAATTATCAAAAGTTACTGGACAGCTTAGATACATAATTTTTGCGAATGATTCTCTCCCACCTAAGGAAGTACTGTTGAAGTTTCCTACAAATACCTGACACTGAGGTGTCAGGAAAAGGAGGGCAGATGAGACAACAGATGATATTTGGAGGTGGAAAAAATTACTCATCAGTGGTTTAACAGCTCAGAATTTCTAACTGTAAGACTCTATGTGCTGTCTATGGCACAATTTCATTGACTTAAACTTCCAAAGAGTGCAGGGAAGATTATGGGGAGGGAATTTTCCAAGGCAAGGTTGTTCCAAAAAAATATTGGCAGACAACTCTTAAGGCTGGAAATACTATGATATATGTAGTATTCTTTGGCTTCAGAATTCAGGAGAAGAGGTTTCTCATCCTTAAAGGCTGAAATACAAAATGTTTGCATTCAGAGTAGGAAAGCTGTGGTACAATCATTGCTCTTCCCATAAAGAGCATAATTTTCCTAATGTGTTACTGTAATATTGGGCTAATTGCCTTTGGAGAATTTAGGGCTATGCTAAGAGTCTGTTTTCTGGCAGTTCAATTCCTATGTGTCAGACCTCCTTTTCAGGTGATGCTGTAGTGCTTTTTTGCAAAAGCTTTATTTTAATCACAAGGGGGACAATTTGTGCAATTTTTATGTGTGTAGGACATTTATGGGATGTGGACACAATGCTGTAGGTGATCTCCAAGGTCATCTTTAACCTTCACAATGAACATAAAAAGCCATCCCATGGCTAGCTGTGGTTTGCTGGAGTACCTTGACTCGTGACTGCACTGTAGACCTGGGCAACCCCAGTGCCCTCTGAGAAACAGTGGTGCAGGTGACACATGAGAAATGGCTTCTTGAGAGTGGCTTCAGTTACTTAACTAGACAGATGGTCTTATTTCTGCAATATTTGAGGTAACAGTATGAGCATTTCTGGGTGAGAAAGGATTAACATATTTATAAAACTCCTTACTTTTACAGCAACAGGAGCTTTGTCTCATGTGCTGTCCACACAGTGCCACCTCCTGTAGTCGCTCTCCTGAGCCCTTTGCAGTCACTCTCTGACAGAAGGAGTGGTGGCTGTATTGTTCAGCACGGGCTGTGATCCTGCAGATAGTAGCATGGGAACCACCAGCCATTAGTCAGGTTCATTAGGAGCGTGTGTGGTGAGAGCGGGCTCTAAACAGGGACAGAACTTCGTTAAAATCTCTAGCTAAGTAAGGCAAGTGAAAGTGTGAGCTTCATCTACTGGGGAGATTAAAGGAGAACTGTCTGATCTAGTTAATCATTGGCCACCAGAGTACGTGCCATTGTGAAATAACACTGGAGTTTCATCTAGTAGTGAATATTCTTTTATTGCATGTTCCAGCTGTGTAATTTCAACACAGAAGTGGCTTACTCAGGCCAGAAAAAACTGTTAGAGCTACTGAAGTGCAATGTACTGTCTGGGTACTCCTGTTCAGTACAATGGCATAATAAGAGGCCTGTTTAGTCTGGATTAGAGTACCTGAAGTCAATACAGGCAGAAATGAAATACCACTATATTTTATTCTAGCCAGAGGAGTTTTTTATTATTACCTGTAACAAAGTACCAGTGAATAATCTTATAAAGAAAAAAAAAAACTTATTTATATTTGAATACCATTACTGATAGCTTAAATGAATGTCCTTCTTAGACTATACTTCCTCTTTCAAATGAAAAGAGATATCTTGAATATTACTTTGACCAAAAGAGGAGACAAGTAGCATTTCTCTTCTGAAGAATTCAGAGTAAATGTGAAATGTCTGGAAAAACAGCAATTAGGAGCTTAAGAGAATAGTTTTGATGGTTTTATTTGAAGTGGAGTAGACTTGAATCATAGTGTGGTTTAAATTAATGTTTGTTAATGTTTTCTGTTACAGGTTTTCTAGAAAAAAAGATATATATTTATTTGTGTTTAAAAAAGAGCTAATGCAGTTAGTATTAGCAAAACTTAGCTGCAGACTTTTTAATTGGCTTTATTCCAGTCAGAGGTTTATTAGTCAATAGTTGTAATCTTGACTATATTAAAGGAACAAAGAGGAAGGAACAAACATGGTTCTGTTGTTTTATAAACAACCTTTTTCTCCCTGATGATGAATTACATTGTTCAGAGAATCTTAGTTCAGGGTTTTGCAGTATTATTGTCTCCTGAGTTGCTGAAATAGGCAAGGAAATGAGTCAGATGAAATAACTTTTTTATTCATAAAGTTGAACTACTCTCTAGTACTTCTTCAGTGGCACTTCAGTATTACTCTGTTCTTAATTCACTTCCATATACATTTTGATTTTAAGCCTGGTGCATTAGAACTTGCTTTAAAAGCAGGGATTTTCCTTTGTGCAGTTTTAGCTTACTTTTATAAAAAATGCAGAGTTTTACTTTGTTTCTACCCTGAATTAGTGGTAATCAGTAGATAAAATAGTCTCAGGCTTAGAATTTTTTGTTGTTGATAAATAGGTGGGTTTGTGTGCTTGGTTTCCCTGTTGCTACTGTATATTCAGTCTACCTACCTACATGGTGGTTGTACAAAGAAAGAAATAAAGAATTGGTCAAAATGGCAGAACTGATCTTAAAAGAAAAATGATGCTGTGTTTTTTTGAAAAAAACAAACAAAAAACCCAAACAACTCCAAACCAAATAAGGAATCCTCTGATGTCTGAATGGAATCTTGTTATTTATCCAGGTAAATTGGAAGCCAGGGGAATGGTATGACTGCCAATAATAATAGCTATTGGCCAAATCCAGGCAGTAAAATTGTAAAGTATTAAATAAGAGAATAGAAAACAAGTGAATGTTTGAACTTTTAAGGAGGTTTTCATGTTTATTCCACTTCTTTTTGTGTGTGTTCTTACTAAAAAATAAATGTATTTTCCATGGTAAAACATTAAGTTTGCAATTATATTTAACTTAAACTTTTTGCTGTTAAAATGCTGAATATGTTAACTGTGAATATCACTTACCACTTTTAATTCCATCCATCAGTGAGAACTTCAGTTTGTCTGCAAAGACAAACAAGGAAATAATTTTTTTTTTTTTTCCTTCCTCCTCAGGTTTGTGGGTCTGTACTTCCAAACAACTTGTACAGAGAGAAAATTCTGAATATGGCTTGATTTGCTCTTGATCTTGGCAGTGTTTCTAATGAGTGCCCCATGGACTCTATCAAGTTCAGGGGGTTCTACTCTAGCACTGAGGAGCAGAACCCTGAGCAGCAACCTGGTATCAGTGAAAACGTTTCTTCATCGTTCTCTCTAAAAGAGCAACAGAAAATGAGTGATTATTCTGGACTTGCCAATAACCATAGCCAGATGATTGCTGAAGATTCGGAAATTCAGACGAAGCCTGAACACTCTCATGAAGTTCTCCAGGAAGATATTGAAATGAGCAGTGGATCCAGTGGAAATGACTTCAGTGGCAATGACACAAATGAAAACTACTCAAGTGGGCATGATTCTCATGGCCATGAATCGGATGAAAATGGGAAAGATTCAGCAATGCTCATGGAATCTTCAGACTGTCATAAAAGGTAGTAGCTAATATTGAATAAATATCACTTATTTTTGTCACTAAAGGCTTTATCCACTTGAATCTAATTTCAGAATAATATCTACAATATGAAGTGTATGTTGAGATTGAAGCTTGGTGTTGTACTTAACTTGTACTCTTGTATGATGTAACTCTTGTATGATGTAAATTGTGTAATATGTTATAATTCATAAAGAGAAGGTCTCTGGAGTTTTGCAAGGACAACTTCATTTGAATCTTTCTTCTCATCGTGTGTTTAATTAGCCATATATAATTTTTTGTAAACCAACTTTATAATTGTATATCAAAATATGTCAAACTGTTTTTGTGTAAAGATGCAGCTGTGCTATTTTAATCTTCTAAATAATAGCTTTGTATACAGACAAAGCTGCAGTAAGAATGTTCTTAGACAAATGTCTAACAGCTGTAGCTGCAATTTGTTGTACCAGGCAGAAGCTTTTGAAGTTTCTTTTTTTTCCTAGGATAGCCAGTTATTAATAGGAAAACGTAAAGCTAAAATGAACTAAAAGTTGTTTGTTAGGTTTACTAATATTAATTTCCTTTTATCTTTCGTTATTCTAGTTCAAGCTCAAATGCATTTAGTCTGATGATTGCAAACTCTGAACACAATCAGTCTAGCAGTGGATGCAGGTAAGTTAATGTGCATATATTTTCAGCAATTTGCATGTATGTAATGCTAAATGCTGAAAACTTAGCGGTGTGTTTTGGTTTTTCTGTTCTGTTTTTGCTAAACCTGGAGGAGTACACAAAGTACTATCTTAGATTCTCTTCCTGTCCATAACCAGCAGCATGTCCTATTAACCACTTCATTGAAAAGAAAAAAGCAACAGCTTTTTGTTGCTGTTCCATGCAAATTGTGTGATAACCTTTCAAATCATATTACTTTTTTTTTAATTTGTTAGCTTAACTCTGTAATTTTTTCTGGTTCACTTGGAATATTGCTTCAGCTCCAGTGGTTTGGGGTTTTGTTTTTTTTTTTTTTTAAAGCTTTTCTTTAAATTTTCTACTCTTCAGAATTTAGTCTGAAGCCCTTGTCTGGGGACAACCTAGTAGTGTTTTAACATCAGAATTCACCCAGTGTGTTGGATGTGTTCTGATGTCCAGCAGCCGTATCATCTGCCTCTCCTGTGTTCCATTCGCCAGGATTCAAGCCTCAAGTCTGTAAGGATAAACCAACATGAGCTGCAGGAAACCCTCTGTATGAACTCTGCTTCTGACCCCGATAGACTTGAGAAACCTGGTGGCATTGAAGGCTCAAATCTGGACACTTCAGAGTGCCCTACTGTATTCGTTGTTTTTTTTTTTTAAGTCAGCCTCTGATCAGGAGACCAAAACCTGATCCCGAGCAGATCAAGGATATCTAGCTATCATACTGATATTAAGACCTCTGCCTTACATATACCTACCTGAAAGTGTTTTCACCTGATACAGTTCCTAGAGAAGTGGTAAATCAAAATTACCCCTTTGCACCATTTGGTGCTCACTGAACATATTTTCTGTGTCTGCCTTGCAGGCACCTGGAGGTCTTGTTTCATGCTGTATTTTTAATTGGAAAGTGTGTTCTGGAGCTCATGTCCCTTAGAGAACAGAGAGATTAACAGAATCAACTAAAGGCATTGCTTCATCTTCCTTTCCCATTGATTCCATTTTCTTCACTGGAAGGTTTTTAGGGAGTTACTTATTACGGTTTTTCTGATACCTCTTTATTTTAAATTTGATCAATAGCTCTCGGTTCATGAATAGGAATCCAGTTTTCCCCAGCTGTCAGGCACAGTGCTAGAAAGTTACAGAGCAGAATCTGGTCATCTTTTGGAATGTGAGACTAATCTATAGAATTATGTTTAAAGAGAAGACTAAAAGAGTTTCATAAGGTATAGGTTTAGTCTTCAGTTCAAAAACTGGGCATTGAATTCAATGTTGGCACCACCCAGCTACTTGGTTTGGTATCAGAAGTTACCTTTCCAGTTCACTGTCCATATAAAGCTAGATCCTATCTTTACACAGCTTGCTTAGTTTGTCCTCTGCAAGTTATGCCTTCCTTGTGGTTGGCTACTGGGCCTGACATTACTGATATTTGGAATAACATTTTCAAGTTGTGTAATGTATTTTCCAAGGAGGCCCATCTTCTATATTTGCTGCTGCTGTAGGCTACTTTAGAAAGGTTTCTTTTCTTGCAAAAGAGTCTGGCCACTCCCCTGAAGCCTTCTCGGAGTGCAAAACCAGCAATACACTCGGTTATTGCATAATCTTTTCCCTCTTTCCTCTTCCCTACTGTCAGCATAGAGGGTTCTTCTATGAACAAAGCACTGTTTGATTACATCAATCCAAACTGTCGAGCCATGTTGTAGATGTGATTTTAATATACAGCATGAAAATAATGTTTCCCAAGGGAATACTATACTCTTTTGTCTTATCCCTTGCCATTATTTCCTGGTACAAAATGACCACTGATTAAATGAAAGCTACGTTTCTCACAGCACATTGTGTTGTGAGCAAGAACAATGTGTAGTCTCTAGTATGAGCCAGCTTTGTCACTTTCCAAACATTTTCAGTGAAGTACACCCAGAACCTGTCAGATGATTGATCTACCTGAAGAACTTTTCAAACTTCCCAGAAAAATGGTCAGAAATCCTCTTTAAGATTGCCTGGAAGCTGAAACCACTTTACTGAGCACTTCAGACAGGGCAGTAAACTTGCCAAGACTATTCTTTCTACAGTGGTTCTCAGGGTAACTTCTTAGACACTACCAGCCATGACAATCAGGTGGTAAGAGAAGACCTTCCTTTTGGTGGGAAGGAATTTATTTTCAGGAAGGTTTACAAAAAGCTCTAGAATCCTCTTGATTGTTGTGACTGATTAGCTTTTAAAATCTGCTCTAATAAGAAAGACAAGGTGATTTTTCATTTTTGACTGGTTCCTACCCACCTGCCACCCATCTTTGTCATCCTCCCCATCCCTTCCCTTCCCTCCTTTTCTATTCCTTTTTGATTTTTTCAGCACCTCTTGATAATGGGGAGAGATATCAGGAACTGCAAAGGAAGGCAATAATTTTCTGACGTTGGCAGGAATCTCTGATAATCTCTGTAGTTTGACCTTATATTCTGAGACAGCACTTCTGAACATGCACCTGAGAAATGTGAATGCAGTTTCTGTCTCCAACCTCCTCTGCTTCTTTACCCCACATATTTAGTCAAGTTTCCTTATCTTATTTAATGTATTGCCATGCTTAACTGGGATACGTTGTTCCAAGGATTTCTCCATTTGTTTTAACTTGATGCTCTCCCACTGCCATTCCCTTTTCAGGGACCTTTCTTATGAGAACCTGCTCGAACAGGAGGTGAAGACTTGAATGGACCTCCTGCTTCTCTCCTTTGAAGTCCATGAACATTTCTATGAGTTTGAATTTGAAAGGAACTAAGGAAAATACCACTAAAAAGGGAGGAGGGAGACTGGCAAAAAAAAAAGTTTTCTGGTGCTTGGGTATATGTATTGTTGCACATAAAGAGTACATTTTACAATAAGACTTCAGGTGGTGGTAAATCTTTCATTTTAAATGATTCTAGCTAATTTAAGAACTATTGTAAGTTCTGAATGTTGATACTAAGTACTGGAAAAGTTAATGTGGCTAGTTTTACAAATTTAGGTACATGACAAGTGTCAGAGTATATTTGGGCTTCTATGAGGATGGTGTGTCACTTCAGGCACTCCAGTGACGTTTTATTTTTTGTCTTTAATCTTGCAGTAGTGAGCAGTCCACTAAAGCCAAAACACAAAAGGAGCTGCTGAAAACATTACAAGAGCTGAAAGCTCACCTTCCTTCTGAGAAGAGAATTAAAGGCAAATCTAGTGTCCTAACAACGTTGAAGTATGCCCTTAAAAGCATTAAGCAAGTTAAAGGTAATTGAGTGTGATGTTACCTAGGCTGGCATTATCTAGGTAGTACGAAACATTTAAAATGGGACTATGAATGTGGTTCTCTGGGTAAAGCTGTTTATTATGTTTGAAAACCTCTCCAGACAGGTGTTTACATGGTGTTCCATTTGTTGGCTCTGTTAACTTGTGTTTCTTTGGGAGTTAAAGCAGATGCTTGATATTTTACTGCGTTTTGTTGAGTTAGAAAATTAAATTGAAAGCAATTGACAATTTCATACTATTTGAATTGTCAGACTGAAATATGTACGGGTATCTAAGATGGGTAAATTTATTTGGGTTACGGAGGAGGAGGAGGAGGCTCTAACGAGGGAAAACTAATCTGAAGTAGTACCTAAATTTCCCCACTGCCTATTCTTTGCTTATGCAAAAAAAAATTTAGCTGTTTATGATGTCCAGGCTGGATGTTTAGTGATGAGATTTTTTTTTATTCTGACTATAAGTTGTTTCATCTTCTCATTCAGCCAATGAGGAATATTACCAACTGTTGATGATTAATGAATCCCAGCCTGCTGGACTCAATGTGTCATCTTACACGGTGGAAGAAGTGGAGACTATAACCTCAGAATACATCATGAAAAATGCAGTGAGTATGGTGACCCAAGTCTACAGAGAGTATTAAAAATGTTTTCTGGAACTGGAATTCTCAAGAAATTTTTTATATTTTTTTTCCACAAGGTAAGAGTTGGTAGCTAGGCCAGTAAGCTGAAGAAGTTTGCTTTTGCATTTCAGGGGAAGTAGAAACTCTCAGACTTTTCAGACTGTGCCAATAGCATCTTGATCTAAGGTGCTGCTTTTTTTTTTCCTGTCAGTTAGGTGGGAAGTTAGTAGTCTAAACTCCTTGGTCCTCTGAACTGTACCTTGTGCTTAGAGATGATGGTGTGACACACCTCAAGATCTGTGTAATACAGTGCACATGAGACATCATTAGTTGTCCTTGTAGAAGACCTACTGAAGTTGGAGAGTAACTCTTTCCAAATTTTAGTCAAACACACAGTGAATCATTTCAGCTTATCCTTATCAGTAGGGTTTATTTGATGTTTCAGCAGTTCTTTGTGTTGGTGTGACTGAAAAGTGATGAAAGAGTTGGAATCCCTGTGTTCTGTTCTCTTCTGTGGTAATTGTCTAGCCTTTGCAACTGGTACAGGCTTACTGCATAATCCAGTGATAGATGCTGTCTTCTCATCCAGATGAGAACAGCTGTCACAATCAATATAGTTTTTAGCAGTAAAATGATAGTCTGATTTTTTTTTAATTAGTATTTTTTTGATATAATTTAAGCTTATATTGTGGAGTCTTCAAAAAGTATTTGCATCTAAATTTATTAGACTGCCCTCCGCTATTTTTTCTTTTTCTTTCGCCTCTGCCTGACTGTATGAAGTTCTGAAATCAATAAAACAATGGCCTGGTAGGGCATGTTCCATAGCTTGATGAAGTAGGTGGGTTTTGTTGTATCTACAAAAAGTAAAGGTTGCCCATGAGGGAAAATAAATAGAAAGTCTAGAGTGCAACTGAGAGCATCAGCCAGATATCATAAACATGGTTCAATTGCTTTGAAGCATTTGGGCTTGTGAAACTGGTGTGCTGACGACAGCTCGTAAGTTTTTGTGTATAGCGTTGGCAGTAGAGCACTAAAGGTAAGTGCTCTAATGCAGGAAGCTCTTTTTTTGTCCAGAAGAAGATAATGTGAAAGGATACAACTGAAGTGTGTATATTGTTACGTGGCACCTTTTTTAATACCTGTCTACTCATTAATTTACCAAGGGGTTTAGAGGACTTCCTTTTCATTTTGCAGTGGATGGACAAGCAAGTAAGCCATTCACAAAACAGTTAAATTTCAAATGTAAAGTATGCCTGTAACAAGCACAAGGAAAGTGTGCAGTTTTATAGGTGGAAGCTTTTTACTTCTTAATTTGCAAATTCATTCTGCATCATAAAATTTTAGGCATTGATATTTAGGGCTTGTAATGGAGTAAGAAACCTAGTGTCTTATTGCACAGTTCAAAAAGTGTACTCTGTGTCTCCTTCCTAGGCAGGTGAGTTTTATTGCTCCCTAAGCAGATGCAGTTTAACACAATACCCTTAATTTTTCTTTGGAACTTATTAATGCTTTTATATCTTAAGTATTTTTATATGAAATACTGTGTTGAAGAATGTTTTAAATTGTCAAAGTAACTCAAGATTTTTGTTTTTAGGATATGTTTGCTGTAGCTGTTTCTTTGATTACTGGGAAAATTTTGTACATCTCTGATCAAGCAGCTTCTATTCTCCGCTGTAAGAGGGGTTATTTTAAAAATGCCAAATTTGTGGAGTTCTTGGCACCTCAGGATGTCAGTGTGTTCTACACTTCTACTACCCCGTACAGATTACCATCATGGAATATTTGCAGTAGAGCTGGTGAGTGGTCCCAACAGCAGATATTTCTCAGGACCTTTTTTCAGTCATGCAAATACTTGAACTGATTTTAATATCCTTTATCCTTCAGTTCTTGAGGGTATAACACAGATTCCTTACTAGAATATCTCTAAAAAACACTAGACATATAATATGCTGTGATAAATTGGCAGGGCTTATCTCTTGGCTAAAAGTCTACTGAATGTCATTGTTTATTGGTTCTTGTGCCCTTCTTATCCAAATAATGAATGAAAATAAACTAGGTATTCATGTGGAATAGTGGGTTTGCTTTCCACTCTCAAAAGCACTCAAATGACCACTGTTTTTCATTAAAATTTTTCTTCGTCATATATCGAGGGGTAATCAAGGGCCTGTTGCACGAGGACAAGGGTGGTAGGTAGAGATTTAGACTAGGTATAAGGAAGAAATTTTTTTACACTAAAAAATGCATTAGTGGTGAAGCACTAGCACAGGTTGCCCAGAGAGGTGGTGGAAGCCTCATGCCTGGCAGCATTCAAAGGTCATGTTGGATAGGGCTGCGAGCAACATGCTCTAGTTGATGATGCCCCTGCTCACTGCAGGGGGCTTGGACTAGATGACCTTTAAAAGTCCCTTCCAGCGCAAACTGTTCCATAACATTCTTCCCCCTTCCTTCTGCAATGGTTACGAATTAATACTACACCTTGATCACAGTGTAGAAGGATGTACTTCAGCTACCATCACTGTGCATTCATCAAGTGTAATTGTATCTCTGTTCTTTTAGCCATATAAAATGATGTTAGGCATACTGATGGTGAAGGATCAGATGTCTTGGGGCACTTGATTATTTTTGTGGGAGGATTGTTTTACTGCTGTAGCTATGGCTGTTAGGAGTTGAGAAATAACTGCCAACTATTTTAAACAAACACTTGAAATTCAAGGTCTGCTGTAAATATTTGAAACTAATTGTATACTAGGTCTGTTAAGTCAGAGTGTAAACCATGTTTAATTTGAAAAGAACAATTAGCAATAAATGTATACTAAACAGGGTCAGTGGGGAATTCTGACCATGTGATCCTAATTACAGATATTATTGTTATGCTTTTTTTGAGATGTTTTCTGTAGTTTTATTATTTGTGTGTAGCTTCAAATGTCAAAACTGCAGTAAGCAGAACTATGCACGCTATCCTGTGTATCAGCTGCCGCAGTTGATAACATCAAAAACTATTGCACACTGAGGCCTTAGAAGGACCGAGCTTGCCTTGAAAATCAATCTGTGGCAACTCTGGAAAAGTATCTCTGGTGGGCTTAAAAGGTGGGAGGGAGCCCTAATGAAAAACATACTTTTTGAGGGAGGCGAGGTGGATTTGATGATCTATCTGTCTTAGTGCCCTTCTAGTAAAAAGGTCAAATTTTGGGTCCCATATAACCGAACATTTTTGGTCAACACTACAGTGGAAAAGCTGATAAGAGTAAACGGGGCAAATGGGAGAACCATTTAGATACAGTTTTGGCAAAAGGCTTACTGAGCAAGCATATGTGTTTCACACACCAGCCTTGGAATCTGAGTGGTGTGCAGATTTAGTTGCTTATAAAATACATAGTTTAACAAACATACAGAAACTTGAGGGAATGTAAACTTTTTTAAAAGAATTCAGCCTTTATCACTTAAGGAAAAATACTTGTTTTAAATACCATGGTTATCATAATTTGTAACTTGTCATGAAATACATTTAATATTTCTAGAGTCTTCCACCCAGGACTGCATGGAAGAGAAATCCTTTTTCTGTCGCATCAGGTAAGACGACAACATTCTAAATCTTAGTGTTAGCCTGTGAAACCATGCATTACAAAATATTTGACTTCTGTAAGAATCTATGGTCTCTAAGATCCTTACTTCTCCATAATGTGAACATAAGGCAAAAACGTGCATGTCCTCTAGTTGATTAACTCCCAGAATCTCCAGAGAAAACTGCAAAAAGATTTCAGGAAGTTGCATCTTAGATTTAATCAGTGTGAATATTGACCTTTGCACCACGAAGGAAGCTGATCATGCTGTCCTACTGCTATGGAAAGTCTTCAATGCATGTTAACTCACCTGTTCTCTTCAGCACCTGCTACAGAGTCTTTCATTTTTAGAAGATTAATGTCTAATCTTAAATTTATCTCAAGTGTCCTGTAGAGAGAGATACATGAGGGTAACTTGATTTGTCACTTTTACAGTTACTAGATGAGACAGTTAGTTTTGGTTTTGCTTTTCTGCCTTCTTTTCCTGCCCCCACTCCATGTAGTTTCTTATATTTAGGAAATACTGGTAACTTATTCTCTGTTTTTTTTCTTGTGGCATTTGATTTCTTGCTGCTTAGTATCTCTCTGGTAGCATTTCTGAAACCAAACATTGTGGATCTTAGTACTTCTGGAGTAAATAAATAATTATCATTAAAATATGACAAAACTTTAACAAATGGGAGACCATGTGCTGCTCCGGAGCCTTGGATTGAATGTACTGTGGAAGTGCTGCTGGTGTCACTGTAGACTTTTTTTTTTTTTGTCCAACTAACATTGGTTCCAAAAGCATTAGTTTTATTAAGCTGTTATATATATTTATCATTGTGTAAACAAATGTTGTTTTAATTACTTTGGATTCTTAAGTAAATAACTGTTTTTATAGGCAAGAATTTCTTAGTCTTTGTTTATTTTAAATGTTGATTACAAGAATGACTTATTAACTGAGGGGATACAGCAGTCTTTTTAAAATATAGCTCTGAAGGGTATAATGTCACAAATTTAAGATTATTTGATCCACAAAACGTAGTCTATCATAGGAGGTGTCATTGGGGTTTTTTTTTTCCACCAAACTTCCATTTAAAGCAATTGTGGATCTTATTATTTCAGGCAGTATAGAGGGCAGTATATCATTTATTGCAGTAGGTATGCAAGAGATGCTGTCAGAATTAGCTTCTCTTCTATCAAAGAGGAAAAAAAAACCCACAAGTTAAGTTCTTGGATGCTGTTTTAGGAGCTATCATGAAGTCCTTGTGTCATGAGGCAATTACAATAGATAAATTAAAAGTTTGTTTAGTGTAAGATGAATCTGTTGAAATAATTAACTCTGTTTAATTATCAGTGCGGGAAAGGAGCGTGAAAATGAGATTTGCTATCACCCGTTCCGGATGACTCCTTACCTTATCAAAGTGCAGGATCCAGAAGTAGCAGAGGACCAGCTTTGCTGTGTGTTGCTTGCAGAGAAAGTACATTCTGGTTATGAAGGTAATCCTTTGAATGCACAAAGACTAGTTTGGTTTTCTGAAAATAAGAACTGTTCTGTGTTCTGCTACAGGAATTCTCATGAGGTGTAGCACGACTGAATTTCAGTCTGAAAAGGCAGTTCTGAGTTACTGCCAGTCATCTCAAGTTTTATTAGGACGAAAGATAATTGGTTCTGTTCCTTTTCCTTGCTGAGAGGCGGTGAGCTAGAAAGCTTCTTTCCTGTATGCTCTTATTCAGACTTTTAGACTCTACTCAATATTTAATAGAAATATGTAGCTTCAAGTATTTTATGTATGCCAAAACCCCCACTTATTAACCTGCTTTTATTTTTCTCTCAGCACCCAGAATTCCTCCTGACAAAAGAATTTTTACAACTACGCACACACCGACCTGTTTGTTCCAGGATGTAGATGAAAGGTAACTTAGAAGAAAAATATTCTCAATTTGCAAGCTATCCAGTATCTTCACAATTTTTTAGGATTTAAGTCGCCTGTGTGAGTTTAAAAATTGTGACTTCTAAAGGGTGTTTAACCCTAGAAAAGTACATCCCCCCGTTTTCACTAAGCATGGAAACACACTACACTGTGGTATTTAAATGGAAAACTGCTTGCCTGCTAACAAGTTGTTCCTCCATTTTCCTTCTGTCTAGGACAGATCTGGATATAAATTCAATTAATGAAACCCATGGTCAGGAAAATTCCTGGGCTATCAGCCATCACATGTATGAGATTTTGAGTTGGTAGGGTTTTTTTAAGTTCAAGTGAAACAATCTGTTGCTGTCACTTTCTGCTGGCCCAGATAGAACTAGAGGTGTCTTGTAAATGTGGCATTAGCTATTAAAAATAAGATTCAAATAATCTGCATTCTTAATTCAAACTACAGTCCTCATAGTTCTTGCAGTTGTCTGTCTACAAAAATGCTCAGATTCTACTGACCAAGACTTCACGTTCCTTTGAGAATCAGGAAGGCTGATTAGATAAGTATTCATGTTTTGGAGTAGAACCAAATATGCCACCTGTGTTCTTAAGGCATACACAGAGGCTCAGAAACTGAGATGTAAACCAAGCTTTCCTTGAGTTTTCTGGATTGCTTTTGTCTGGGCTTTTCAAAGAATGTTTACGTGGTAGAAATGTGAGGTCTCTGAAAACAACAAAAGATACTTTTTCAGAATTAGGAGCGTACTTGGCTGAGTAGGAGATTGTCATCTCAACAAGCTTTTGAGCTTTGGAATATTGTACTGTTTTGAAGACTTGACTTGACAATTCATTGCTTCTGAGTTGAAAACATAGGCCACTTTTTCCTTTTCTTTTTCTTCTTCTCTTGCTTTACTTGATATTTTCTTCATGATGATTTCTGATGTGCTGTATGTGGGATTATATTTTGAATTTTTTTTTTCTTCTCCTTATTGAAAACTAAGTTGGTTGCAGTAGTAGCATCTGACTTCTGAGATTTTCCCCTTCTCTTGTTTTTAAGCATTTTAAGAATGCTAAAATTTTCTTTGTAACTCTAGATGAGGAGGGTATCTACAGATAGTAGCAGTATAATGGACCATTTGGGATTTTTGTGGTATCTTTTGGGCAGCAATCTTCTTGTTTCTGAAGAAATACTTTGTTCTTGGCAAAATCTTTAACTGCAGCAGAAGAGTGAGATTGGGGGAAAGGAGGTTACTGGGAAGTTTGGCTAAGCTGGGGTCAAGGTAAATATTACAGTTTCTCTTGTCTCTCTGCTGGTAAATTGTCTCACAAGACATGTCAGTATCACTGCAGCACACACGATTTTGATTTAACAAGAATTTTGGAAGGTAGCTATTGGAGATTACTCTAAAAGAAGACAGTGGCTAATCAGTGAGGATAACTTTGCATTTTAAGGTACATCTGGTTTTGGCTAACTTTTGCAGACATTGCAGCTTAGTGTGAAGAGTTCCTACAGGATAGAAGACAATATAATGATGACAAAACTGTTTTTTCCATTTATATGGTCTCTCTAAATAACTTAAGCTGACAAAAGAGCTACTTTGTCCAATATAGTTCTGTCCTCTTCATGAATCTTTCTCTTCCTCATTCCCACTAATGCTCCAAGCCAACAGCAGGTTTGCAGGGTGGGTTTGTTTTTTTTCAAATAAGCCAATGGCACAATGTAAAGCTTCCCTTCCTCCATGCACCCTGAGCCCTTTTATTTCCAGTAGTCACTTAACACAAGTGGCAATATTACTAAATGGAGAGCCTTGCCCTTATTCTTGGGCTTGGGTGTAGGGAGTGCAGTAAATCCCTTCCCTATGGCTACTATGGAAGGATCTTTCCTGTTAGGTGGTAGTACCATTTATTCTCAAATACCATTTTTGAATACTCCCAGAGAGGGTTGATTACATCTTGGTCTGATATTAGGACTTTTGCTGTGGCTGATTTTGCTTTTAATTAACTCCTGAGAGCATTGGCAGCCAGACAAATGTTTACCAAGACATGCATATGCATTTTGTTACTCTTAAGGTCTCCAGAGTTAGTTGGAATGCACAAAACAATAGATTCTTAGAGGCAGTGGAGTCTGGTATTTTAAAATATACAACTCAACACCTGCTGTCAAGTGCAAATTGCTGTTAATATAATGCTGAAACCATTGCCTGACTTGCATAAAATAAAGTTAATTCTGTAATGTTTATTCATGGGTTGGAAGAATGCTTGCTTGTACTATCTCTGCAAGTGTATCTGCACCGAATATATTAAGTAAAAAGAAATATTTTCCTGACATTAGATGGATCATTTCTGTATACATTTGTCTTTGAAATGTTTGTGATACCTGATGTGTGTGATGGATGTAGGGAGTTACCATGTAGTTCACAGTGGAGGGATCTTAGGAAACTGCTTTAAATTAATTTACTATTTAACTTGCTCTAAAGAGATTTCTTATTCATATTGTTTTGACACTTTAAATGTCATTCTATAAAACAAAAACTAAGCTTGCTGCCTCTTCTCATCAAATGTTTGTATGCCCTATGTGCATTTGCATTCATAGAATTAGTTTACTAACTTGAACTCTTAATTACTTTTAGTTATTCATTGTGAGGAAGCATAATGATGCAAGGTACTGCCTCTAGTAGATAATAAATTAAATATTCTCTAATACAAAATTATACCATCACAAAAACACTGGTGGAAGGGACTGCTGGAGGGCTCTGTTCCATACTTCTGCTTAAACTGTTGCCCAGCTCTAAGTGAGGTCAGCAGCGACCTTGTCTCAATAACGCCTGAAAGCCTCCAAGGACAGAGATTACACAATGTCTGTGGGGAACTGTTCTGTGTTGCACTACTCACTCTGTTAAACTTTCTTTAGCATCCAGCATAAGTTTTCTAGATTGCAGTCTGGGGCCATTGCCAGTATTTTTATTGTCTGGCAACAGCAAGAAAACTTAACTCCATCTTTGTAACCCCTCTTTCCAGTAGTGGTGGGAAGCTCCTGGATCATCCCTTAGCCTCCTTTCATCAGAACAGGCGAGCCCAGCTCAATCTATGCTTATTTGCTTTATCTTCTAGATCCCTGACTCTTCTAGTCATCTCTATAACAGTATAAAAATACATAGGGAATGGGTTTTTTGGACAAAAGTGACAATTTGCATAATTTTCATTATGAGTAGATTAATAAGAGGTCAAAATTTGATCCCTTTTAGGGTAGGGGTTCTGTCACAGCGCAAACTAACGTAGTTTGCCAGGCTTTCATAAAGCAGGTGGCAAAAATAGGAACAGTACAGAACAAAAACTTGTTTTCTTCTACTTCTTACCATGTTATTTGATGAAGTCTTAACTGAAGTCATTTAGAGTGGGTTAGTATTTTAAATTCTTCTAACAGCATAGCTTTTCTTGTATACTTCAAACTTGGTAGCATCCTTGAATGTCCATGTGTCAAAATATTTGATAGTAGTTTCATGCCAGTTTCAGCTTTGTAAATTTGCTGCTTTAGATCATCCATGAGCTTTTAAGATTCATTACGTAACTAACTTTTTCAACTATAAGGCATTAGTTGCTATCTTAATTTAGAATCCCAGAATGTTTTAGTCTGGAAGGGACCTCTAGAGGTCATGTGGTCCAACCACCATACACAAGCAGGACCTTAGGTCAAGTTGCCCAGGGCCCTATCAAGCCTAACCTTGAATGACTCCAGGGCTGGGGCCTCCAGCACCTCTCTGGGCAGTCCATTCCAATGATCTATTACTCTTATATTAAAATTTTCTAATATCCAGTCTAAATCTATCCTTTCCTAGTTTAAAACCATTGCTCCGTGTCCTATCGTTAGAAACCCTTTTGAATAGACTTTCCCCTGCTTTCATGTAGGACCCCTTCAGGTACTGGAAGATCACAGTAAAGTCCCCCCAGAGCCTTCTCTTCTCTAGGCTGAACAGCCCCAACTCCCTCAGCTTGTCTTCATATGAGAGGTGCTCTGATCCCTTGATCATTTTGGTGGCCCTCAGAAGGATTTCTTTCTGAATATCTCTGCCTCTTTGCCACAAGGGTATGTTTGATGTTTTGGGGAGCTGATCTAAATCCAGTGGGTTATTGGTGGCATCTGGCAAGATCTTAAGTGTTACTGAGAAGTATTGACTTCATGTATTTTTTTTTCAAAAGCACATTTTTGATGGTTAGCTTTCAGGATAAGGAACAAATAGACATTTGTGAACTTTCACTCTTTCTCCTTAATATGAACATTTTAAGTGATCAGTGAAAATTACTTCATCCCATAAATGAGTTGTTCACATGATTAGAAGTGGTTGTTGATAATGTGCAGGAATTCAGTAATGTAGCTTTTAATTCTTTGTTTTAATTAATAAGCTTGTTTCCTTGCCAGCTCCTTTATGAGTTGAACTCTTAACCTGCCTGTGAGAAAGTTTTCTTAAGTCCTAGTTAACTGCCCTGTTGCTAGTTCAGTTATAGTAATCCTGTGATCCTTAGCTGGCTTGCAGCCCATGGATTGGAGTACTGTTTACCTTCATGAGATTTTTACAAGATTAAGCTTTATTAATGCTCTTTTAAAATTAGGGTAAGTATTTATCTGCTAGAACTAGGCAGCATAGGAAAGGGAGAACTGCTGTAGCAGACTTGGCTTGGTCTGATCACGTTGTCTGTGGGGTGGTTGATTCAAGGTTTCTTTGTAGCTTTACAAAACAAACAAAACCTGCCTTGCTCAAAGAGTACTACTGCTGTTATTTAGGCACTGCTGTTTCCCCAGTTTTAAACTTAGTTATTCTTTTTATAGGACAAAGAGCAATAGAAATGTAAACGTTTGAAAGATTAAATATTTATTTATTCCACTTGATTTATTTTTCCTTTGTTTCTCTTTCTCCAGAGCAGTACCTCTGTTGGGATACCTACCTCAGGACTTAATAGGAACGCCAGTCTTGGTGCATCTTCATCCAAATGACAGACCCTTAATGCTAGCAATTCACAAAAAAAGTATGGAAACTCTTACTCTGGCAGAATTTTTTTTTTTTTTTCTACAAGTTAGCAATAATGACTACAAAGACCCTTAGCAAGTAGGGGGTGAAAATTAAGACTATGAATTTTTCTGCAAGTAAACACTGAATCTTTTACAACTGGATTCTTACTGCAGATGGATGAAAATGAGAAATCACTTAATTCTGTGTTTGATGGGATGCATGTGTCTGCTGTAAACAAATTGGCTGTAAATATTTCTACATAAAGAAAATTTTCTTGAGCATGCTATAATAGAATTTGTCATACTTTAAATAATAGTCTTATTTCACAGAGAAGAAAAGAGCCATTCTGGCAATGTTTATTTGTTAAAATTTGAGAATATACAGCTGCTTCTTTCGTCATGTTTCACTTGTTGCATTCTGAAGGTTTTTTTCTTGACATAGTCCTTTATTCTAGAAGGCCAGCATTTCTAAACCTACATTCCTTCAGATATCACCTTCCTTCTTTGCAATTAATGATAAAATCCTGAGTCATTAAGTAGATTAATTTTTAATCTGAAATTAGAATTCTAGCTATTAATCTGAAATTTCTTTTTGATTTGTTTGTTACAGTACTGCAGTATGGAGGACAGCCTTTTGACTATTCACCAATCAGGTTTTGCACGAGAAATGGAGACTATATAACCATGGACACTAGCTGGTCCAGTTTCATCAACCCTTGGAGTCGAAAAGTTTCGTTTATTATTGGAAGACACAAAGTTAGGACGTAAGTAAATAAACTGTTGGGACATTCCAGGGGTTTTAAAATTTGTTTTTATTTTCCTTCCCCTTGGCTTTACATAGTGATTCTTAAGAAAGAAATATGGGATTTTCAGAGGTTAGGAAAAAAAAAATACACATGCAAATTGCTTCCTTTTTAAATTTGGGGTTTGTGATGTGGTAACTGCTTTAAAAAGAAATTTGAAGTCCTTCAAATTATATCAGTACTGTCAAGACTTGCTTCAGAAGAGGGAAATCATGTTCAAAGTGAATAAGGGTATATATTTTATCAGATTCAGAGGTTGTAGATGCAATAGAATAAGTATCAGATTTTGTTTACTATATATAGATGGTAAATTGAAGAAGTGATCTCTCTGTGATTCAAGTACTTGTGTTTGTAATGAGCTGGGATATGTTTGGTTTGTACAGGGGTCCCTTAAATGAAGATGTCTTTGCTGCTCCCAACTATACAGAGGACAGAATCCTTCATCCCAGTGTTCAGGAAATCACTGAGCAAATATATCGGCTGTTATTGCAGGTACAGCCTGTGCTTTGATGTTACCCTGTTCATTTCCTGCTGGAGAAAGGACTTTTATCTATGTGTGACGTTTTGTTTAGCTGTCTGCTACTGTACTGGAATTCCTGGCTACAGTCCTGGAGATTACTTACACTCATGATTACCAGATGAGATGTACTGAAGTATGTTAAAGCTCCAGTTGGTATTTTAAGGATTTCATGCAGCTATGGAGTCTTCACAAAAAAACAAAACAAAACAAAAACAAACAAACAAAAAACCCTACTAATGTAAAACCTTTTTGCCTCACATGGAATTACTAGTAACAGCTTCAGTTTTGTTGAAAGCTAGTGTGCTGAGATACATGTGTATGTGTGTATATATATTTGTTTTTGGTGTTAACAGCCTGTACACAACAGTGGATCCAGTGGGTATGGAAGTCTAGGGAGCAATGGTTCACACGAGCACTTAATGAGCGTGGCATCCTCCAGTGACAGCACAGGAAATAATAATGAAGACACTCACAAGGATAAACCAGTAGGTTTGCTTTTTTGTTTTTCAAGTATGTAGCACAAAAGAAACCAGTAAAAGTTGGGGGGTTTAATTCTAGCATAACTCTGTCAGAGAGGCAAGAAAATAGAAGAAAAAAGTCATCTTTCTTTTCTATTTGACATGCAAAAAAGCATTCTGTCTAGGGAAATAAACATTTCTGCTGTAGATGAAGTCTCAAGGTACTGAAGCACAGTTATAGGTATAAAACTCGATGTGCATAAAGAATTTAAACCTGTACCATGTCTTAACTTAGTCTAGTTTCTGTTGTATGTTACATGCTGTGTTTCTGGGAAAAGCAGATGGAGAATTGAAAGCAGTTTTGTTGCGGGGGGGAAGTCTGTAATTATTGTTTTCCCAAATGAATCTTGGAAGATAAAATGCAGTACTACCTGCATAAAAAGTGATAGCTTGACCTTGATCATTCTTTATGTTGCAAAAATACATTGTGATACTGAATGGAATAAAATATTTTTTAATAACTTAACTTTGCCATAAATTGGGCCATTCTACATGTGGTTGATAGCGAGATGTAACTTTAAATTCCATTAGTCTGAATAGAACAGGAGCATTAAATTTGTGCTTATGCTTGGCAGAACTATTCCACAGGCGAAGTAAATCAGACATACAGTAGTGTACTGAGTGTGGATGCAGTCAAAGGGACTGCACCTTTTAACATCTCTAGTCATTTTGGCTTTCCTCTTGTTCTTCCCAAACTTGTTGTAGCTTGTGGAGTTACGTTTAATTCTGAAAGCCAAAATTTTCCTTCACTTGGTTCTGTTGCATATAGGCTAATTCTCCCAAATCTGATTTCTGATTCTGTGATCAGACATGGCAGACTACTGCTCTTGCCAAGGTTGCCTGGCTTTCAGTCCTTAAACACTAGTGGCTTAAGGAGATGAAGTCTCTGGATTTTTTTTTTGATGTTGTTTAACAGATAACATTACTTTTCTGCATAGCTCTGAAATGTAGTGTTTCAGGAGATCTTGGTTTTGAGGGAAATAACTACTTATCTTTCCTTCACTATTTTTACATATAGTGAAGACTGTTACAGTGTAGTTCTACAACATCCTGTTAGTGCTTGGATAAACTTCCAGCACAAAAAGTTCTCGGTCTTGGAAGCACTATTTTGTTTACAAATTGATACCGGGATTTTTTGTTGTTGCTATTTTTTTTATTCTGGTCTTGTTTGAATTGTCTCTTTCTATTTTTCTATGCAAGTCGTTCAACCGTAATAAACAAAATACAGACTAATTATATACAAAAAACATACTTCAGATATCTTCCTTTCCTATTAATTTTCTTTTTTCCCCCCACATTCTGCTGCTGCACAATACAATTCTATAAATGAGGATTTGTCTAGTGTTCAGACTAATTTTAAGATAGAGATTAATTAAGGTTAGATCTAGTCTACTGAGGAATCATTATGCATGATGATTTACGTCAGAGTTTTGTGACAAAACTCTTTATTGACCTGCTTTCAGGATGTTTGTCAAGATGCCCGTAAGATCAAAAATAAAGGACAGCGTATTTTCACTGACAGTAAAGCAAAACTGGGACATAAGAGAGAGCCTTCTGCAGGTAGGACATTAGCAAGTTAATTTTTAGTCTATTGTCCATTGTATAATCTGAACTAAGATTTTTTTCTAGTTTAGTTCTAATCAATGGATAATGACATAATTTTTTTTCTGTTATGAAATATATATAAATGACAACTTAGTAGTGTTGCTATTAGGGAGATTTGCAAGGATTTAATACCATAATTGCATCATATCAGTATCTCTTTTCACAGAAAAACAAAATGGTTCTGGTGGTCAGGTGAAAGATGTAGTAGGAAAGGACACTGCAGTAACAACTGCTCCTAAAAATGTGACTACTGAAGAGCTGGCTTGGAAAGAACAACCTGTGTATTCTTACCAACAGATCAGCTGTTTGGACAGCGTCATCAGGTAAGCAGCCAGTGGGTAAATTACTCTTGACCTCTGGTCCTAAGACTTGCATATCTAATATTGATGAATCATTGTATTTTAGGTACTTGGAGAGTTGTAACGTGCCCGGTACAGCAAAAAGAAAATGTGAACCTTCACCAAATGTTGCATCACTGAATCCTGGAGTTCACGAACAAAAACCAGCTGATCATGCTATACAGCCCTTGGGAGGTAGCTCTACATCACACCGTTTTTCTTCACTAATTTTTTGCTAGCAGCCAGCTAGATGTTACTTCTTTGCAGAATAATGACCCATGTAGCTTAGGCATGACCTCATACCATTTTCTCAGTGTTACAAACTGGTGGTCTAACTTCTACCTTCCCTACAGTCAAAATACTGAGTTAGCTGGCTGAGTATCTGGATTGTAGACGGCACAAGCTTATTTATACTGTACAAAGTACAGCAGGATATCGAGTTTTGGGACTTGAGTCATTATCAAATGTAAAAAGCTTCTTTCACAGTTGGGACTTGTTCTTAATTAAGCTGGTTGTTCTTACAAGACAACTAATTGATTGGAACAAAGATATGCATATTACAGTGCTGGTTCTCCTTTGTGGACAAAAGCAAGGAACAAGAGTGTAAAATGCATACTAAGGCTGCTCTCAGTCTTGTGTGAGGCACAAGAACCCATTTGAAAGGAATGTCCAGCTATGAAAACAGAAGCTGGGAGTTATTGACAAAAGCTATCTAAAAAATTCTGCTGTAGGCCAAGTCATTAACTTAATTTGGTAGGGCTAAGGTACAGCCTTGGATATAGTCCCTGTCTGGGTGGGGAGCTAAAGTGAAGAATGTAACTGTTTCATTAGTACAAGGATTGTGAGATTGGTAAGGAACTATAGGTAAATTAGATACTTGCTGATTCAGCCTTATCATTGTATGAGACTGAAGGGGACGTATCTAGTGGAGTTTCTAAAAAATTGGTCTAAATTGTCTATATTTCTGTTGGGTGAACTTCAAAAAGAAGTTCTGATTGCAGCTTTTAGAATCAAATTGGAAAGTACAAGTGTACATAGGAACAAAGGGTCCTGTAGAAAGAATTAAAATGCCTTGAGAACTAAAGAGGAAGAAACGATGGAACTAGAATCATGCAACTAGGAAAACAATTTCTGCTGTCATTTGGAGTCTATGCAGTTTGAGTTGACAGGAGAAGATGTGGGTTCAGTAGTTTTTTGGTGCACTGCTGAGTGATGCACACTGACAGCATACTCAGCCAGGAAGGCAGGCAAATGTTACAACTTAAATATGTATCATGCCAAGTATTCCTACTAGAGAAGGAAAGTTTTAATGCTGTTTTATGAGGCACTGGTATGACCTCTGCTGGATTACTGTGTATAGCTTTCAGGTGAGAGAATATAAATAGGTGGATGCTTAGAGCAAAGCTGCTGGGATAACCAGTTAATGACAGAGATCGCTGTATAACAATATAGGGCCTGGGCAGGACTTAATCTTAGGCTGTAAGAGGCTAGGAACTTTCTTCCAAAATTATGCTGTGAAAGAGGAGTTGAAGACCAGGAAAGAGGAAAAAGCCCTTCATTGAAAAGATTTGGTTTTGCTGCATATGAGAGGATTGGATTTGGTTGCTTAGAAGTTGTTGGATTCCTAAAATTTTCTTGGTGGAATGCATGAAGTAAAATGTTCATTTTGTGTCATTTTAAGTGCAGCTTAGCCTCTACTGTTTTGCATCCCTAGCAGCACATAACTTGCATTTGCTCTTGTTTATATTCAGTACACTACATCTTTCTTTCTTTCTTTCTTTCTGTAGATCCTGCTGTGTTGAAGGCATCTGGTAAATCAAATGGTCCCCCAGTGGTTGGTGCTCACTTAACATCTTTAGCTTTACCTGGCAAGCCTGAGAGTGTTGTCTCACTCACAAGTCAGTGCAGCTACAGTAGCACCATTGTTCATGTTGGAGACAAAAAAACACAACCTGAATTAGGTAGGGTTTTTGCTAATAAGTTTTCTCCAAAATGGCAATTGCTGGCAAGTTTAATCTTCAGCCATATGAACAGCTGGTATCTGCATGTGACTTATGTTTTCTTACAGTTAAAATGTTCCTATGGAAATGGAATGAATAGGAACAGAATTTGTCTCTTAAACTCACAGCAAAATTATTACAGAATTTAATAGCTTAAAAATGCACATACAGAGCTTCTTTTACCTCATCTTGATTTCTTTTTTTCTCTCCCATTTATGTAGAAATGATAGAAGATGGTCCAACTGGAGCAGAACTCATAGATGGCCAACTTCTTGCACCTCCATCCAGCTCTGCACATGTAAATCAAGAAAAGGAGCCATTTAAAAAGCTGGGACTTACGAAGGAAGTCCTCGCAGTGCACACACAAAAAGAGGAGCAGAGCTTTTTGAATAAGTTTAAAGAAATCAAGAGATTTAATATTTTTCAGTCCCACTGCAATTACTACTTACAAGATAAACCAAAAGCACGGCCTGTTGAACGTGGTATGACAATAGTTTTCATGATAAAACTTGTATTTGTATAGGAAGTAAATCCTGTTGAGAGGGCATTGCCATTTGTAGCTGTACTGTGGGGCTACTGTGAGTAGTGACAGTTGCATGCTATTTTTAATGTCCATAGAGAAATTGTTTCTGATGAAATATTTTCTTGCTTGAAGACTGAGTGGAATATAGCTTTTATATTTTAGTAACCAAAGTTTTGATTTTTATGACTGCACTACACTATTACTGTCATGCGTCTCTTTTCAGGGGACAAAACCTATGCTTTAGCATGTTGACTTTCTTGTATCTATTCTTGTATTCCCTTGCTTTTCTTTTTCTTGTCTCTCCATCTGTCTGCCTTTCAGTTCTGTGGTTTTGGTATGTTTTCAGCCCCTTTGCTTTACATCCATTTTCCCCCATTTCACTACTGTGTAATCAGTGAAGCGATCTGATAATTGTTTGGTTGCCTTTAAGTTAATAATGTGATCAGTGGGATGGAAATGGCACAGACTACCTGTAATAGTGAGATTGTTTTGTTTGTTAGGACTAGGAACCCCAGATGGCATTTTTAGAAGTGTTTGATACTGATCTGACTTTGTTCCTATTTCTGTCCTGACTTGACTTGGAACAGAAGTCAGACACTGCTAAGCATTTTGTACAGATTCTTATCATTCATTTTTCATTTAAATAGTTATGTAGGTCCTTGATTTAGGAAACCTGTTCTGGAACCTTTTAGAGCTCTTGTGTTCTTTATAAACTTCCAGGCTATCTAAATAAGCTTTTGTCAAACTTAAAATTTTAGCAGCTTTTAGTGCTGGAAGAACTTTTAGGGGTTTCTTCATGTCTGTAATCAGCTGAACTGACTGCCTTCACATGGGGAAAGGGTCACCTGGTGCAGAATTCTCCTAAAATAGAGGTTGTAAAGGTAGCATGTTGGTTCCACACCCCACCCCACACCCCTGAAATTTTCCTATGTACTTTCTCTTTCATGAGTTTTTTCTTTTTTTTGCCCCCTTTTCAGTTATGGACCTGTATCAACTTAACTCTCTAGAAATGCTTTCTTTATGTCCCATACTGCTTTCATTGTAACTACTGGAATAATGAGAAGTTTGCCCCTCTGAGAACCACAGCTTTGGAGCTTTATGCTGTTTGGGTGACGTGCATTTGAGCCTGAACTGATCCATTGCTGCTCTTTTTTCTGTGTTGTGTCAGCATGTTTTTCATTGTAACTTCTAGGGATGACAAGATAAAAGGGATCCACCAGATTACAAGTAGGATCCTTCCTGATGTTTTGTTTTCTTTGCAGGTGGCCGTGGACAAAGGAATGGCACTTGTGGAATGGATCAGCCTTGGAAGAAAAGTGGAAAGAACAGGAAATCAAAGCGCATTAAACCACAGGAGTCTTCGGACAGCACAACTTCTGGAACTAAATTCCCCCATCGGTTCCCTCTTCAAGGTTTAAATGCTACTGCTTGGTCACCATCAGACACTTCTCAAGCGAGCTACTCAGCCATGTCTTTTCCCACTGTTATGCCTGCATATCCACTTCCTGTTTTTCCAGCAGCAGGGACCATGCCACCAGCTCCTGAGCCTTCACTCTCTGGTTTTAATCAGTTGCCAGACTCTGGAAATCCTTGCCCTGTGCAACCATCCCAGTTCTCTGCACCCCTCATGACACCTGTCGTAGCTCTCGTGCTCCCAAACTACGTCTACCCGGAGATGAACAATAACTTACCTCAGCCGCTTTACCACAGCCAGCCCAGCTTCCCTGCCCATTCCACCTTCTCTTCCCAGACGGTGTTCCCGACCCAGGCGCCGTTTGCTACGCCCAGCCCTTTCCCACAACAGGCCTTCTTCCCAACGCAGCCATTCCATTATAACCCCCCAGCAGAGAGTGAGAAGGTTCCTGTGGCAGAGCCCCGGAACGAGCCGTCCCGCTCCTGCACTCCGCAGTCGGTAGGTCCTCAGGACCAGGCTTCACCACCCCTGTTCCAGTCACGGTGCAGTTCTCCCCTGAATCTTCTGCAGTTAGAAGAAACCACAAAAACTGCTGAAAGTGGAGCTCCTGCAGGTTTACATGGAGCTTTAAATGAGGAAGGAGCCATAGGCAAAATCATGACAACTGATAACTGTAGTGGAAAAGAATCCTTACCAGTAAGTATGCTGATGGGTTTTGTTGGGGGTTTCGTTTTGTTTTTAAAAGTCTTCATATTCTTGAATGTGTTTGAAGTTCTTAATATTAAGAAATGCCTAAAATTAATTTCTCTCTCCACCTTCCTGTTTTCCTGTCTCTGCTACATCACTTTCAGTCCTTTTCATTTGTGGGACCTGTTTTTTAATGATAAACAATAATTGGTCAATATAATGCCAGGAAGTGAACTCACAATTGTAGTTAGTATATTCAAACTTAAGCAGGCTGAATAAAATATGAAATCAAATAATTAGAAGAGTCTCAACCTTTAAAAATTAAAACCACCTTGTTGTTCTTCTAAAGTTACACTAAGAAGCTTGGAAATATATCCTGAAACAGTTTTGTTCTACCCTAAAAAGAAAAAAATGAATATGGGTAAGCTAACTGAAAAGCACTGAAATAGATTTAAAGTAAGATAAACACTTCAGCCCAAAACTTTTTCTCTAAAAATAATGAATTTGCGTGGAGGGGGGGAAACAATCTATAAGTGGTCTGGAAAAAGCCAATTTAAAATAAAATCATGTTGTTTACAAGCAAGCAACTAGAGTAATGGAAGAATGAATTATTGCTTGAAGACCACAACTTTATTTTTATTTAGTGCCTCAAAACTATGCTGGGCTATTTGTTAACTTCATGGTGTTTTCTTTTGTTCCCTGACTCATTCAGATTTGATGAATCAGTTTAACAAATAACCTTACAGAAACTTCAGACGGAGTAATATATCTGTAAAGGTTTCTATGACAGAAATATATAGAAATATTAGTGTTTTCTAAAGGCACCACAGAGTATCTTTTGTAAACATTAAGTCACTGATGGGGATGGGGTTGCAGCCTAAACCTGTTAGACTGGCTCCTTCTTCCTTCCTGCTTTTCTTGTGTTGGGGTTTGTAACTGGTCTCTGCATCTCATGGTGGGGAATTTAGATCTCTACATTAAACTTTTCACTCTGAGTAGTTTCCAGGTGATTCATTTTACCTGATATTCTTGATATTGATTCATAAGGGGAACAAATGGAGGGAGAACAGAGCGAAATTTATTTTGTTAGATCTGTCTTTTTCTAGAGAAACTTCCAAACTTGATTGATACTGTGCAAAAACTGGACAGATTTTGTTATTACATGCTTATTATTGAGGAGAAACACATTTGGGTGTCATTAAAATTCTCCATTGTACTACTGCAAATGCTAATTCTGGAGAAATTTTCAGAGATATATGAATCCAGTGCTGTATTTGGACTGTTCTATGCACTACATAACATCCCTGAAATCTTAATCCATCTAAGGACTTCTGACTTGTTCTGTGATACAACAGAGCATCTGTGACAGTCTTTAACTTACAGCATGTTCTGAGATGCTTCTGCTGGAGTAAAAGAACATGCAAATTATCTTGCCCAGGAAGCTTGCCTCCAGGAACACACCTTCCTTCTCTTCATGCACTGGGAGTAGTAACAGTGGTGCAAATCTCTGAGGCAGATAATAGTAGGAGCAAGTTCTAGTGTGTCTTATGTGACTTGAGTAAATCCTGAGTTGTCTAGTGCAGTAGAAGCTGTCAAAACTGAGTAGCAAGTGCCTTCCTTATTTCCTCAATAAACCATATGAAGTGAAATGGATTAATACTAAATGTAAGTGACTAGCCATGAAGTAGCCTTCCTTTTTGGGTTTGTTTTTTTTTTAACTTTATTTTCTTCCCCCTTTCCCTTCCTGTCACTAGGCTGAATCACCAATGGATGCTCAGAACAGTGATGCACTCTCCATGTCTAGTGTCCTGCTTGACATTTTGCTCCAGGAAGATGCATGCTCAGGCACTGGTTCAGCTTCCTCGGGGAGCGGTGTCTCTGCAGCTGCTGAGTCCCTGGGGTCTGGATCCAATGGCTGTGGCATGTCAGGGAGCAGAACAGGTAACACTGGCAGTGAGAACTCTCAGCATTTTAGAGAAGTTGGAGGTATTCCAAAAAACATCATGAACATCAAGAGCTTTCTGTAAAATTTGTTATTGTCTTTAATCCTCATTATAGTTTATTCATGATTTTTTCAATTTACAGTATAGAGCCCTTTTTAAATGTGTGTGAAGTAGCCATTAAGATATTATGTAGGTTTGAGAGAATAATTAAAGTACTGTACTCTTTCATGTCTCATTTCAGAGTTTTTAACTTAAATCAGCTAATTATTCTGTGGCAATTGGAGACTTAGCTTTAGAATTTGAGTTTTTAAAACATTAATTCAGTTACTTTAGGGTGGAAGTTCCTTTTGTTTAAAAAATTAAATGAAAGGAGGGTTGTATTTATACTTTTAGTTCTCTTTAATCTTACCCAGTTTCAGAAATATTCAGATAATCTACTTATTTGACAACGTATAATGAAACTTGAAATTTGTTTTTAAAGGTAGTAGTGAAACTAGTCATACCAGCAAATACTTTGGGAGTATTGATTCCTCAGAAAACCATCACAAAACCAAAATGAAGGCAGAAATGGAAGAAAGTGAGCACTTCATCAAATATGTCCTTCAGGATCCTATATGGCTTTTGATGGCTAACACGGATGACACTGTCATGATGACTTACCAGATACCTTCACGGTAATTCCCATACCAGAGTCCTTCAGGAGCTGTATGCATGTTGGGGGGAGCAGGGTGTACAGAAGGAAAGATGTGCATGGATCTCATTCTCAGTAGAAGAAAATTGGTTTTAGTGTTTAGCCAAGTCAGGCTAGTCTTGAGTCTAGCTAGCCAAGTCAGGCTAGTCTTCAGGCTTAACCAAGAAGAATTCTTGCTTCCTTTCTATCTTCTGTGTAATACACAGAAAGTTCTGAAAAAGTAAAAATAATTTGATTAGGCTGACCTGTATTTTTTTAGATCAATTACCTGAGCTGAAATGAACTGTGTATATTTTTTGAAGCTGTTTTATAGTTAATGATTTGTGACTACTTGCCTAGAAATTCTTGTAGTCTGATGAATAGATCCTGGCAGGTATGCTTAGATCTAATGGTGGTTTGTAGCATGGACAATCTGTATTTCATGGCTGTTCTTTGAGATGTCACATTCAGTGGCACACTGTTTTCTCTGCCTTGTGGTTTTGTTTTGTTTTGTTTTTTTCTTGGATTGTTAATTTACACATGTTCATTGTTCTCCACAAATTCCCATCCAAATAGGACAAGGAAGTAGAAGGTAAAAACTATAAGGTTTTTCATAGGAAAAACTTAATTAAAAAAAAACACAACACCACATCCTTGGCTTCAATAGCAAAGAGCAGATGTAGGGGAATGGGGGTGACAAGCTCCAGACTTCTTTTTTTTTTTTTTTTAATCTTCTTGTTTATATTTCTTGGGAGCAGTGAATGGTATTTTGAAAGGAATAGAAAGTTTCAGTAAAGACAAGTACTTTGAAAGGGAAGGGAAACAAGCTTTCAAAATTAAGCATGGGGCTGATGGGGGAAAAGAAAACACGTCATAAAAACATAAAAATTTTCCCTAGACTTAAAAATAGCGTGGCATTTCTCAGTTTTTGTAGCCTGAAGGGTTGGCAGCTACAGATGGGAATTCCTGTAGACTGTAAGAGTAGCAAGGCCTGCCAAAGAGAAGGTAGTCCATCTAAACCAGGCCATTGTGATAAGATGAGTTAAGCTCACTGTCAGAGTGTGGTGCCCAAGAAGAGAAGAACAGACTGGCTTTACACTTAGGTATGCTGCAAGGAACAGAAGTCCTATGGGGTTTCTTGGAACTTGTTTTCTGTTGTCATCTTTTCTAGAGCTATACAGCTATCCAGTGTTTGGGGTGGGGTGGGGTTTAAGTGTCTGAATCCAGGTGGGGCATTGAGGAGAGAGAACTTTGCTGAAATAGAGCAGTGTTTTCTAAATCTCTACCACTTAGTCCTGAAGTTTAATCCATTCTTGATGACCTTCTTAAACATATCTTACTAATTCTGCTTTAATATCTCATATGTGCATTTAGTGTCTGTCTTGGGTTGCCCTCCCAGTGAAGGGGAACTCAAACTTACTGCAGCAGGGGAAACTGGAGTTCTTAGTGGTTTCACTGGTGGTGCTGCCTGAATAGCTCTAAGAAAACTGTTTTCACTGAAGAGATTTGAAGAGACAGTGAGCCAGCAGAGATGCATTAAAGTTGTGTGCAAATGCAGAAAGCTGCTGAAATAACCACACTTAATTTTCTTCCAGTATAAGATTTGTAAGCTTAACATTCCAGAATAAAAATAGTCTTTAAAAATGTTAGGATTTGACTGTGTAACGTTGTATAGGCATAAAGCCCAGAAACTATTGAAGCTCAATTTCTAAACACATTTTATTTCAGAGATTTGGAAACAGTTTTAAAGGAAGATAAGCAGAAACTAAAGCAAATGCAGAAACTACAGCCAAAATTTACAGAAGAACAAAAAAGAGAACTTATTGAAGTTCATCCATGGATCCAGCAAGGCGGACTGCCAAAAACTGTAGCGAATTCTGTAAGTTTAAATGAGTTAGTTACACTTCCATGTATAACAGTGCTTAAATTATTAGTGGCCTATGTTAATTTTTCCATTCCTCTTGCTATGAAAGATTGGTCAGTTATGCAGAGAGGGGAAAAAAAAATCAAATTTCCATGCAGTGGTTTCTGACTTGATTTAATTTACTATAAGTCTTCTTTCCATTGGGAAAGTCAAAGTAGCAGTGAATACAGTGTAAGAAAGTTCCTTCCTATTTCTAAATTTCTGTGTAACTGAAATCCTTTATCAACACAGCCAGAAACCTGAACACATAAAATTTCTGGTTTGTGAGCAGAAATAGATGCTCACTGCTTTTCTAAAAAATACAAAATTAACAGGAGTGCGCTGTCAGATTTCTCACAGGATCATCTCCTGACTTGATTAAAGGCTTGGAGGAAAAAGGGGGGGGAAAAAAAAGGCAAACCAAAAAAACCCCTAAAACAAAGCATCTTTGCAGTTTTGTTGTCTGTGTATTTTATTAATTCACACACAAATACCTGATTGCATCCTATTTTCCCTAAGCTTTCCATCATTTGTAGCTTTTTTGCACATAAGTTATCAAATGCAGAGGCTCTTTTTGCACAAGTATTTCAAAAGTCAGTGTAACAGAAGTGCAGTAGAATCCTGATGGTAATGTTACTGCAGTGTTGATACTACAGCACCCAACTCGTGTTACGTGCACAGTTACTTCTGAAGCACTGCACCTGACACAAACATCCTACTGCAGGGATAGCAGCCAAATGGAGGAAAAGGTGGTTGGAAGTGCTTGTAAAATGTCAGCATTGTAAGTAATCTGTGACATAACTGCTTCCAGTGGAGTTCTCAAGTACCTGCATTGATTTACTACACCTTATAAAGTGATTGTGTGAGGGAAGAATTAGAGAGTGCAATATATTTGATAGCTGCAGTACATGTGCAAAAGTTCCATTGGAATCAGGGATTGCATCAAAAGGACTCTTCGGACTGTTGTTTGGAAAAGGGTTTTTTTTTCCCCCTTATGATTATTTCTATTTTTTTTTCTTTTTAGGAATGTATTTTTTGTGAGGACAATATACAGAGCAATTTTTATACGTCGTATGATGAAGAAATCCATGAAATGGACCTTAATGAAATGATTGAAGACAGTGGGGAAAACAACTTGGTTTCTCTCAGTCAAGTCAGCGAAGAACAAACATAGCCTTTGAGCCTGTTGTTTTCCAGGCTGCTTCAAAACAACAGTCATGATCCACAAAGGTTTTAATCTTGTATCCAGCAAGATGAATGCAGTTCATAAAAACAAATGTGTTTTTTCTTGCTCTGGAAGAGTCATTTGTGAATGAATCTCTTTTTAAATGGTGGCAATCTCTTCCCAGTAAGGACGTTGTTGAAGATGGTATAGCTTTTCTTTAAAAAAGATGGACTCCTATTTTGCACTTACATGCCTCAAGTATTTCTTTATAAACTATAGAAACTTTCATTGATGCCTACTGTTTTTTGTAGAGTGGATTAATGAGTACTGAAAATCCCTTCACATACATATGGTTCTTCAAATCTCCTTTTGGTAACGATTCAGCATTATAAATTGTTCTAGCAGTCTTTCTTAGTGGCTTTTCAGCGTTGTTCTAATATTTGAAGTGGTCCAGCATAGTGGAAGAAATAACCTTCAAGCAAATGAATTCACACTTGCCCTTCTCTTACCAGCCAATCCATCCTCTTTGTTTCTTAGAGTTTTGAATGTAGGAACCTTTTTTTTGTCTAAGAGAAATGTTGAACTAATTTTGTAACAGGGTCTTGGGTTAAAATACTTATGTGAATGTGTAAGAAAGTATGGATGAATGCTGACAACTTTGTAGCCTTTTATTTAAATGGACATTGCAATACTATGAACTGTTTCATTTCCAAGAAATTGTACACAAGGAATCTTTATGCTTAAAGATTTTAAAAATTGAGACCACAGAGGATGACTGCGTATGCTCTGGTGACCATTAGACAAAGCCTGGTGTAACTTCAGCCTTTATTTATGATTAGTTCTGGCAGGAGGTGGGCCATCACTTTTTCCTGTGTGGCTAAACAAACATCAGACTTGTATGTGGCTAGAGAGGATTAGACGTTTCCTGTCATTTGAAGATAGTTCCTATAAAGGAGTGATTTTGAGAACAGTGCTGACTTTCACTATATTTGAATTGCATAATCTAAAATTTAGTGTGACTGGAATCCTTTGCTGTCAAGGATTCAATTTTAATGCCTCTGAGATTGTATTGACTTGAATATGTGTACTTTTATGTTCTTGTGCTGTTTATATGTGTTGGATGTGGGAAAAGAACACGAGAGCAACTTTAATATATGGATTAGTTAAAGGACATGCAGTTGCAGCATCATTAGATGTCAGCTGCAGGTCTTGGGGTGAAAAACACTGATAAATTCAATTAACTTTGATATGTCTGTCTTAAAATATTTTTCATGGAAAGCATTTCCTTTTTTATTAGAACAATGTTTCTATTCACTTAAATTATAAGGTTGTTTTCATTCTATAAAAATATTTCTCTTTGCATACAAAGAGGATGTGAGGTTAGATCTGACACCACCAAAAACACGCAGAAGTGACTGGTATTTCCTTAGTGGAAGAAATAATTTGTGTCAAGTGATTAGTTACTAATTGGACAGTGTCACGAGTAAATTTGCATTGCAGACAAGTTCTGCAGAGAGATTGTGTGAACTTGTGAAACAAAAATCATCAGGGTTTAAAAAAATAAGTATGTTAAATGTGGTATGAAACACTACCCAGCAAGACCTGATTCCTGTCTTTAACAGTTTATCAAGGTCAGACTCGGATAGGTGTAAATATAAACTGAATGAGAAATTTAAAAATGTTGGTGTTCAAGTCCAATGTATTAGATGTTTTAATTATAAATGGAGCAGTGCAGTTATACCAACATATTAAATATCTTTCATTTTTACATGCAAACACAGTTTTAATTGGACCAGGGTTTGGGAAAAATAAAAGCTTTATATAAAAGGAGTGCATCATAATTATACAAATTATTTTCAGGGACTTCTCAACTGCTTTGAACTTCTTTGCTTTAGCATGCTTTTTGGTTTTTTTATCATTATTATTATTTTTATTCTCATTTCTTCTTTTTTTTTTTCAATGACCATCTTGTAACCATAACTTAGTGAAAGGAAGAGAAAAGTATATTTAGAGCATTTTGTGGATGTGCTTACTTATGGACTTAATCTTGCATCCTTAAAGTGTTTGCATTTACAGGGTGGTATTAAAATATTTTCCTGTAACTTTAAATCTACATGCCTCCATTTATAGATAAGATTCTGAAGCTGTAATTTTTCCAAACTGTTGTAAGATGACTTATTTGTGATGACACTTTGTCAACATGTCAACAATGTTTTCTGTACACTGTGCAATATATTTTGGTTTTGCCACTTGTGACTAATTTTTATGACTTTGCTTTTTAGAAAACCGGTAAATAAAACAGATATATTTTTAATTGCCTTTTTGTTCCTTTAGCCATCTGCTCCAAGGAAGAAGCACAGATATGTGTTAGTGGTAGTATGTGAACCAGTATTTCAAACTGAAGAACTTGAGAGCTGTGAACTTGGTTGTGGCCTACTGAAGCAGTAGTAGTAGTTCTGAAGCAAAATTGTTGGCATCTTGTCTAATCTGTAAGTTCTGTGGTTCAATGTAAGATTGAATCTTTATATTGACTAGTTGTTCTAAAAACGTACAAATTTACTACCTGGAAGAGCATGTGCAGCTGTGTTCTTGGTGTTCACTGTTCAAAACCACCTGAAGGCACGTTGTCCTTTTGCTCTGTTTAACAATAGCTATGGATACCTCTTCTCCTGCAGCCCTCTGGTTTCGTTCTCGTCGTTCACAGGTAGAGAATTCCAGTTCTCTCCCTTGAACTTGCTTTGTACAGGGATTATTAGTCTTCTATTGTGGTGTGAAGTCATAGAATCATAGAATCATAGGGGTTGGAAGGGACCTCGAAAGATCATCTAGTCCAACCCCCCTGCCAGAGCAGGACCACCTAGAGTACATCACACAGGAAGGTGTCCAGGCAGGTTTTGAATGACTCCAGTGAAGGAGACTCCACAACCTCTCTGGGCAGCCTGTTCCAGTGCTCCGTCACCCTCACAGTGAAAAAATTTTTCCTGATATTCATCTTGAACCTCCTATGCTCCAAAGTGTTGTCTTCTGAAGAACACAAACTTGCCCAGCCTGTGTACTTTCTTGCTGAGGTTCTTGTTTTATACTCTGATATCCCAGTGGAGAAAGTGGGGAGGTCTGAAGATTTCTATTTTCTTCCTTCGAGCAGTGATGTAGTTTAGTGGGATGCTCCTTTGAACTGCCTGTCCAGTTTAGGAACTGCTTGGGTTATGAGACCTTCATTAGGTCTTTTTTTCCTATGACTCTGTTTTGAGAGGTTTAAAGCAGAACAAGCTAGTGCAAACCCTACTCTGGTTGTGAGGGACCCAGATATTTCTGTGAGCTGCAAAATCGAGGTGTTTCTGTACCACGGAACAGTTCACCACACAGGTGAATTGCCTTCACACCGAGGGTAGAATTATAGTGTTGTGCACTCTGTTGCCAAGAACTGCATTTTAAGGCATGCTTGCTCAACACATCATCCAAGTCCCTTTGAAGTCTTCTGAACTGACTCTAAATACGTGAGCAGTTGTGTGTGTGAAGTCTGAAAACACTTTTGCCCCAACAGCACCTTGGTTCCTTGCTTAGCTTGTCATGCAGAGGAGAGATGTATTGATGAAGCAGTTTACAGAGCTGTGAATGTCATGCATGTGTGCAGTGTATCTGTGCAAGTTGGCAGGCAAAGTGTTGTGCTAGCACTTGGATGTAAGTTTTGATCACTGATGATAACCTTGGGAGGACTGAAGTGCTGCTGAGACCATAAATTACCAGGTAATTTTTCACAGTTCTTTTTGCTTGTGGTAAGTTTTGCAGTGGTAAATGCACCAGGTACAACTTAAATGTGACTTCAGGTGTTCACGTTCTCCTTGGTGATGTCAGCACTCAAAGGGAATGACTTGCTTTAACTGCAGCACCGCTGGGAGCAGTTTGTCAGAGATTTTCTCCCACCTCAGTAGCCCCTAGGCGTCACTGCTGTCCTGTGATTATATCTGGCAGTTTTGCTGCCTTTGTATTTCCTGCTTTAGCTCCTTGCTTTTTGGAGTTATTGAGGTGGCTATGACATCATTAGATGTAAAGGGAAAGATCTATGACTTGAATTTCAAATAAGATGGTGAGAAAACTCATAATGATTAGCTGTTGGCCCAGTGATGGAGAATGCAAATCTGAACCTCCTGCTTGGAAAAGGGAGACAGACTACTGAAAAGCATCAGTTTTTACTCCTTAACAGCTGTCATGATTGGGAGTGGGGTGGGATGGTAAACACTCTCCTTACTGAGAGTTAATGTTCTTGGTTGTTCTTTTGTCTCTCTAGCAAGGGTGGAAAAAACCCTAGTGCATTGATAAGCTTCTGACTCAATGTGGTGAAATGATGCATGTTCCTGGCAAAGTGACAAATGGCTGATGTAAAAGGAGAATAATGCTTGTAGGTGTAATATCCAGAAATTCCAGTGTTTACTTGCTCACAAGTAGTTAGGAGCTTAAGAAATATATTTGATCTATTGAATGAGTTATGGAATAGCTCATCAGGTCCTTTTTCTTGGGGACTGTGGAAGAAGACAGTATTTTTTGGGGTGGTACACAAGATACGTAATAACTTCATCAGTGTGCTTCAATGGTGGGGAAAAAAATAAGGAAACTATTTCTTCTGCCAGGCTGTCTAAGAGGAAAGCTGTGAGACTGGGTGGAAACTGAGAAAACTGAACTCTTAACCATGGGTATTTCTCTTGGCATCTGCTGAAAAAAATCTGAGGTACATCAGGCTGCCATGGGCAATAGGAGTGTGTGTGAAGGGGTTTCATTCTACACTATTTGTGGCTCTGGATTATATCTCATTAACTGCAGACAAAAAGAAGCTGCTGTGGCAGCACATCAGTACTGTTATGACCTTAGTGGTTAATATGAAAGTATACAAAACTTTGCCACTCACTGTTACTCACAGGACATGTGTTTACACCTGTAAAAAAAAAAAAAAAAAAAAAAAAAAAAAAAAAAAAACAAAGCAACGCGGAGCACTTGTCAGCACTGGATTAACCAAGACAAGCAGGTGCTATGGCATAACTGCTAAGAGTTTCCAGTGGTGGGCACAATGTTTGCTGTGCAATACAGAGCAGGGAGATCAGTAGCGAGACAGTTCTGGGGCACCTGCTGCAGCTGGGATAGATGGCTTGGTGGGGCAGCCTTAGAGAGCAGCTCTACTTTGCACTTCATTTCTTGTTTTAACTAGA